TTTCAAATTTTTTTATTAAAAATTGTTTTCTAGTGTTTATTTTTGAGAGAGAGAGAACGAGTGGGGAAGGGACATAGAGAGATGGAGACACAGAATCTGAAGCAGGCTCCAGGCTCTGAGCTGTCAGCACAAAGCCCAACGTGGGGTTCGAACTCATGAGCCATGAGATCATGACCTGAGCCGAAGTCGGACACTCAAACGACTGGGCCACACAGGTGCCCCTCAAAATTTTTATTTAAACTCTAGTTAGCTAACATATAGTGTCATATTGTTTTCAGAATCTATTTCTTCTTGAGTCAGTTTTGGTAGTTTGTGTCTTTCTAGGAATTTGTTCATCTATCTAATTTGTTGGTGTATAGGTATTACACCAACTCATTTATTTTTTATTTTTCACTGATGTAAATATTTAAAGTTAAAATTTTCCACCTGAATGGTACTTTAGTTATATCCCATAACTTACATATTTTATCTATTTTTTATAGTAATTTTGCATTTTCAGTTTGTATTTCTTCCTTAATCCAGTTCTTATGAGTTCTTAAGAACTTTTTGATAGAAAGCCTCCTGTGTTTCCTGATTTTATTATTAATTTTTAGTTTGCTACGTGTTGATTATGAAAGAATCCAGAGAAATATTATTTCTACTTTTTTAAGTTTATTAAGGTTTTTTCATTATCAGTATTCCCATGGACATCAACTTATTTATTTAATTTATTTAATTTATTGTTTTGAGAGAGAGAGAGAGAGAGAGAGAACACACATGAGTAAGCAGGGGAAGGGCAGAGCAAGAGGGAGAGATAGAATCCCAAACAGGCCCCACACTTAGACAGAGCCTGACATGGGGCTCAGTCTCATAACCATGAGATCGTGACCTGATTTGAAATCAAGGAGTCAGATGCTCAACTGACTGAGCCACCTAGGCATACCTTCCCATGGACATCTAAAAATTTTTTGTTGTTTTATCATTTTGTGGTCTGTTTGTTCTCTGCTGTGAGGGTAAATATGTGTCTTTTTTGTCTGATAATCTGGAAGCGTTTAAAAAATTCTTTCCATGATCACTTTTATATCTTCAAATAGTCTTTGTTACTTGATTTAGCAGTGTTGTTACCTTTATAAAACATCAGGAAGTCAATGTATTCTACCCTTTTTTTTTTCCTTTACTTTTTGTCAAAGTATTTCTACATTGTGTATAATGTTTGCATTCGTAGAGTTGTTCTTAGGCTAGATTAAATGGACTCTGCTCACTTCTAGTAATTTTCCAGGCATTTTTATTCCTCCCTAGTGATTCGTCCCCTCATAATTTCTTCCAGAAAGACTCATGGGCCCTTTCTCTTTGGTCCCTGAGTTTGTATTTGAAATTGTTTATTGCTTTTATACTTAAATGACAGAACATCTCTTGGTTGCATTCCTACGAATGAGACTGGTAGGTCAAAGGGTATGTACATTTTTAAATTTAAAATATGTGGTAGATGTTTCCAAAGTATACCAGTTTACACTCTTAAATAATACTTGACCACTCTGCTTAACAGAGCGTTGCCAAGGGTTTTTCCTTCAGTCTTTGGCAGTGTGATGGGCATAAAATACGCATTTGCAGTTCTCCTCATGTGTCTAAGATCGAGTGTGTTTTCAGATTCTTAAAAGTTCTGTGTCCTTCTGGGGTGCCTGGGTGGCGCAGTCGGTTAAGCGTCCGACTTCAGCCAGGTCACGATCTCGCGGTCCGTGAGTTCGAGCCCCGCGTCAGGCTCTGGGCTGATGGCTCAGAGCCTGGAGCCTGCTTCCGATTCTGTGTCTCCCTCTCTCTCTCTGCCCCTCCCCCGTTCATGCTCTGTCTCTCTCTGTCCCAAAAATAAATAAACGTTGAAAAAAAAATTAAAAAAAAAAAAAAGTTCTGTGTCCTTTTGCTCCATGACAGTGCACTATATCCACTTCTCGAGTGGGTTAGTCTTTTTGGTTTTAGAGGCCCTTTTTATATTAAGAAAATTATCCTTCTGTTTCATTTGAGATACCAGTGTTTTTTCCTAGTTGTGTGTTTTTATTTTGTTTGTTTTTTTATTACTACCTGGAAATGTTACTTTTTAAAGTTTTTAAAATTTATTTTGAGAGAGAGAGAGAGAGAGAGAGA